TCAATTCAAAACCAAGTGTCTTCTTTGTCACTGTTCCTCCACTCTGAAATAGCATTCCCCCTGTGTTCTAAATGGCGATAATCTTGTTGTCTTTCTGGTTGTTCTAATATGCTTTATGATATATGACCTGGTTGTTCTAATATGCTTTATGATATATGACCTATTGTTTGCTGTTTATATGTACACTGTGAGTTTATGCACCGGAGACAAATTCTTTGTGTGTCCAATCACACTTGGCCAATAAAGAATTCTATTGTATTCTATTCCATTTCCATTCCATTCCCTGGGCTGAAGGGTTTTATGATTCCATTATTATGCCATGAGTGTTTTAATTATTTTATTCCCTGAGCAGTTGTTTACTATTTGGTTCTTTTTTCAGTACATTGTGTTTTTAACTTGTCCTATACTTTGCCTTGACTTGTTTGATGACTGACATTAAAAAGCTGGTAAATTAATAAAGCCAATGTTCCAACTATAGGTGCAGAGGTATCAGAACTTTAATATTCTTATGACAAAATGCAATTGTTAACATGACAGATAATAAAGATGTACTAATCATAGACGACCAAAATATTAATTACCGTTAGAAGTAAAATAACATCTGGAACCAAAGGACATTTGGTTTCAATAAACAAAATGAAGCAGAAGACATACAAGTAGTTCTGCTAAGCAAAAAATCAGGTAACCATGATAGGCTTACAATGCCATTCCCATTCTGCAACCAAATTACCATGGTCATTAAGCAAAGCATCACGTGATTGTAACTTACAGTTTTACTTTTAAGTTCTCCATTAAATCTGCTTGTTGCAAGCAGGTTGGGAGGCACACAAAAAGCAGGCACGTGATTGTGGGTATGCAGTGGTCTTAAATGCTTGGATAGATCACATAAAGATTTTTTTTTTATACCATTGTCATCTTGAACAGTTGCTAAATGAGGTAGTCAGTAAGCAAACATGACCTGTATTTAATCCTACAATGAAAATTCAGTATTTATATCAAATACCTCCTTCCAGCAATAAGACAACACTGCACTTGGACATCACAAACTGGATTCAGAAGAGGCAGAGGTATTCATGATCACATTGCTACCATCAGAACAATTGACGAGGCAAGGGAATTGCCTGATTTCCCTTTAATTATTTACCTTATATGCAAAATTGATATTGGGTGTGTGAAATAGAAGAAATAATGATTGGAATTGCTATTTCTGTAGAAAACATCAATATCCAGTGATAGACTTGTGATACTTTGACTGAAAAATGCTTAACAAAGTTCTTGTTGAAATTGAAAAAAGAGAATGCAAAAACTGATCAGCTGCTTAGTATTTAAAAAAACCAAAAAACAAATCCAAGATCATACTCATAATAGGCAATGCCAACCCAGTGCAAATCTGCAAGAAAGTCACAATAAATCCAGTAAATAAATATTTTTTTAAAAAAAATGTAAATAAATAAATAATAGGTTATTTATGATTGCCATCCTAAGTGACAGATCAACTGCTGATCATAATATGCTTTATTAAGCTTATAAATGAACCCCAATGCAGTATTGACACATGCCAAGTAATAATTTAGAATCATGTTTGATTCCACAGGTTTAATAGCCCTGTTATGGTATCTCATTGGCAATCTCATTGGCACTGTATTTGTATAGCAGAACTTTGCAGTGTGAACCTCTCTCCTGAATAATTAGGGCAATTAACCCTGGAGAAGGACAAATTAATAGTAAAAGAGAGAATTAGGGACATTGATCATCAAAATGATATCACCAGTTCCCCTGAATTCTATTGCCAATGTTAGATAATTGCAAGCCCTCTCCTGCAGTGTATCTATATAATCTGTTCCTAAGCAATCATAGATGGGTCTTTTCCACAACCTGATGGGAAGATTTCATGGGATTCTTTATTTGCAGAAATTTTGCACTTGTGGATCCAGGGAGACTCATGTCCTCATACAGTGGCCTATCTATGATGCCCCCATAACATGCTCCAAATATAAGGGTAACATAGATTAATTTTGTATTTATTATTTTTATATGCTTACTCCATATTCACATATTCACATCTCAGGTGGCCTAATAACTTTTAACAAGTTGTACAACTGCATGCAACTTTTTATTAGATATGTTGTTTTATTGCCTTTTTTTTCTTTCCCTTTTTATTGCAAAGGCTGGTCAAAGACCATAATAAAGATATTTGATTTGCTTGTAAGTGAAGGATAATGATTTTATAAAGCAAAAATACTGAATAATTTTAAATTCTGCTTAGTCAATCTTTTTTTAAAATGACAGCTATACAATAGTAACAAAACTACAGCTTGAACATCTTCCAGAGTATATGTTTAGAAGTAAGAGTTACATTTACAGTACAAGAATTTTAAATGTTTCCATGATCTATTTGCAAAGGAGAAATTGTTCTGATTATTTAGGGGGCAACTAACAGATCTGTAACTTCGAAATAAAAACTGTTTTTAGTTAGTTGAAACTCACTTTACTAGTTAGGCAGGGACTAAGATAAAAATAAGTCTTAATTTAGCAAAGGCAGTTCCTAATGAAACTGTATCCCACTGAGTTTGCTGTAACTCAAAACAAAGCAGAATTGTCTACAAATGCTGATCAGTAACACAAGGCCTTATCTATGAAAGACATGAACAATAACGTTGCTGTGATAATCATATGATTGTGAATATATCTTCATGTTTTCTTCTTGATTTCTTTATGTATTATTTTGGCTGCTGTAGAAAGAATAGTTTAAAATTTTGCTAATTTATCAGTGAAATGGTCTGACTTTTCTGCTCTATCTAACTCAGACAAATCTGAAAAATGTTGAAGAATGTAATTTCACCATATTACGAAAATTGTCCAATATGTGCTACCTCACCAGAAAAGGAATTGTTTTTTTTCTTAGAGAAAAGCAGTTAAATTCCAATATCCACATTTATTTATTCTGAAACTAAATAGGACATGTGACTGAAGTTTCTTTTGTAAGCAAAACAGTGTAGGGGTGGTAATTGATAGCTATAGATATGAAATCTACAGTAGTTATATTTGGAATAGATGTTACCCTACAGTAGTAATATTGTGTAAATTTCACATTGCTTCCAGCTTTAGCAAGTTATGTTAAATTAGAGTTTCATTATGTGTTTTTAATAAGCAAATAATAAATCATTCTTTAGACCAGCGGTTCTCAACCTATGGGTCGCGACCCCATTTGGGGTTGATCGACCATTTCACGGGGGTCGCCAAGCAAGGCTGTCTGCCATTTTTTCCTCTTTTCTGGCGGGTGCCTTACCTCCCTTGAGCTGGGCCAGCTGGTGGTCGGCCTGCTCCGTCTCTGCCGCTTGCCATCTATGCCTCGGCCGGCGCAGGGGGCGGAACCACACATACGCGGCGCTTCCGGGCAGGGAAAGTCCTCGAATTACGACCGGTTGGGTAGTCCTCGACTTAGGAATGGTTTAGTCCTCGACTTAGGACCGGTTTAGCCCTCGACGTAGGACCGGTTTAGTCCTTGACTTACGACCGGTTGGGGGTCGCGGCATTAAAAAGGTTGAGAACCACTGCTTTAGACTGTCATGCATATATACTTGTTTGCTTTGTAAGAATGTAGTTCTCCTTTTAGCAGGCAGCAGTTTCTCTTGATAAACCCCCTGCAATGGGGCCAGGAGATAAGCAAGCTATGAAGTGGAATGCTTTCTCTGCTCAAAATGCAGAAACAGGAATACCATCATCCACCCTCGGTACTTCATTATCATTGCCCAGAATCCTGCTACCAAACTGAGGCAAAAAAGCTGCCATGTTCTCCACAGAACTCTTTTCCCAGGAAAAGCTCTTTGCCAGGGCACAGCAAAGCTTAAGAAATCCTGTCATATAGGATTACTGTGGCACAAGGATATTACAATAGTGAGATTTGAACTTTACTATTGTAGATTCTAGTTTAGGATGTTACCAAAGCATTTAAGGTAACAATTGGACTAATAAAGTATTCCTTTCTTAAAAGTTCTAGAAGAGTTCTGAGAGTTAATGGCATTCTACTGAGGATCAATTCAACACTGATAACACCTTTCCACAATTACAATTTGTAGCCAAAAAAGAAAGTAATTACTTCCAAATGAGAAAAAAAGTTTTGGATATTATTTTTCTTACTTATTGCAGCAGGAATTTAATTATAAAGTAGTTGCAATATTGTATTGCAAACTGCATGTCAAAAGAACAGGGGTAATAATGTTGGTGGAATCTTCCTGAATGGCAGTTTGGGTATTTAGATATTAGCTTCTTGTTTATTATCATATTTCTAACATTTTATATGACATCTGCCCTCTTTAGTTATATGAATTTTATCATATTAATTTTCAGCATTATTAACCATAGTAATGGTAAGAGAAAACATACAGTATCAGATACGTTATTTGGATGAGAGATCCTTCTATTTTTGTTACATTATTCCAATCTGTTTAAAAAAAAACTTTGAGAAAATTAATTCTAGGTATTTTTAAACATTAGATTGAGGGAATCGTTGTAAATGTTGTGTTGATATTAATATTGTCCTCCTCTATCCTTTCCTTTGGGAATCCTTATTAGTCAAAGTGCAATTTTTTATATTTCCTAAGTGCAGAGGACAGGACTTCTGCATGTTACTTTACAAAGCAGAATGTCAAATGTTGATTTGTATATAAATGATAATGTAGCAGTTTGTAAATCTTCTCAAAAATACGCAGTGGAAAAATATATCCATATTGTTGTCAAAAAAATTCTATATAAATGAATTTATGAGTTGGACTTGATGCGGAGGAGACTTTACCTTTATTAAAAACAGGAAGCTATTACTGTGATTATTTAATAATTGAGACTATATCCACAAATAAATGGCCTACATTTTGGTCGTGATTATCATCCACCATGGTTCTCTTAATTAAGCCTATAGCAAAATGTGTTCACAAGAATTCACAAGAATTTTGTAAGTAAAATAAACTTACATTTATTTCTTCTCCTACCCTTTTTTACAGGAGACATGGAATGTGGGTTCGACTGCGGAAGGTAGTGATCTGGTTGTTGGGAATATATATAGCGATTCCATTTCTAGTTAAAATTTGCCCAGCTATTCAGGCAAAGCTTGTCTTCCTAAATTTTGGTAAGAATAATGCTTCATTTAATGTTTATTTTATCTTGACTCTATGCTAATATTTTAATTCAAGATTAATAGGTGTTCATACCTTATCAGCCCACTCTTTCTTTAAAGACTGATTTCTGTTTAATTACTTAAAAGTCAATGTCAGTACCTTACAAGAATCTTGGAAACTGCTGCCATCAAAGCTTCCTTGGTTATAATAATTTTATTTTTTTGTTGGTAGAAAATCTAGTATATTGATATTTGATTTGAAGTCGCATTTGACTTTTTTCAATTGTTCCTGCATATATTAAATCTTGTGTCAGTGTTCAGTACAGATTTAAAGCATATGAGATCACAATTTGTCAGTATCTGATTAAATTTCATTATTTCTTTGTGAAGTGCTGAGGAAGGAGAGGCTTGATACTGCTGCTTGCAATTTTGTTACTGTTGGCATCTGCAGAGAATGTTCTAATACCAGACAGTGAAAAAGCAATTGTTTCCTTTCAGCACTCCTCAAAAATACCATCTTTGCTAGACTTGGTGTGACTGTATTCTAATTATCATGTCTGCATATTATGTAGAATTTGCTGCTGACTTTGCAAATGTTTTATAAAGATAGGATAGAAAACCAGCATTACTCAATGAGCTGAAACTGTGCCCTACAAATTTAATTCTAGGATTTCCTAAATTAGTTTTAAAGATACAATCTATAATTGACTGTTGGAACTAGGACAAACAGTAGAGTGTATTGACAGTTAACAATTATGATTTAATAAGTATGTTTTGGAATATGGCAATAGAAGTTGGAAAACAAATTACAAACCAAAGAAGGTTAACTTCTAATCTTTTCCCAGATGAATAGCCAGAAAAAACAGCAGAGTGTTATCGTACCTTAAAGATACATACATTTAATATAGCCTAATATCTTCATTGGAGACTTTGTATATTATCCTTAGAATATAATGTACAAACTCATGTTTGGGAGTATATTTGGAAATAATGAGCAATGATGTCAGAGGGAAATGACATATAAAAAATACCATTCATTTCTTTCTGGCCTCTCTCTTTACTGTTCATGCTCTTCCTCCCAAATGGCTGTGTATATATTTACATGCCTCTGATGAAATGCATTGCAATTCATGCAGACCTAAGCTATTATATATTTGTTAGTCTTTAAGGTGCCAGAAGAGTTTTTAAATTTTTTCTGTATCTCTGACTAATGGAAATAATTTTTAAAGAATCCTCCCCTCCTTGTTGACATTTAAACATGTCCAGTAATTTATAGCAAATTTAATTATGCATTAGGATGTATATTATGCAGAAGTATTATTGTGCAAGCTTATGGTTGCTGGTTTTAATTACAGAAATGATTATTTCAATAAGGTAAACAAAATGTAAAAGGAATGCTATCCTTCTATTTCAGTAAGAGTGCCCTATTTCATTGATTTGAAAAGACCCCAGGATCAAGGCTTAAACCATACCAGTAACTTCTATCTGCAGCCAGAGGAAGATGTAACTATTGGAGTTTGGTAAGGAACACTTTATTCTTCTCATTATACATTGATGTCCTTTTATAATTAGAACAAAAGCTTTGCTTTTTTTGTGAATTTAGGGGGGGAAATCAAATAATGCAATGTACATTGCAGTTGTGTGCAGTATTATGCTGAAGGTTGTGCTTTAGACTCAAGTCAAGAAGAATGCAGTTTTAATATAAATGGTGTGGGATTGTTTCAGCATGTGACTTTAGTCTCTGAGAACAAAGCATGGGAACAAGGAAGAAAAAGATAAACAACCTTGAGGATGACATGAATCACTGCTTAGTTGTAGATATATTTGCAGATGTAGCTTTCAGGTTTCATCTTTGTCTTTCTTTTTGAATAGAAGGTATCCCAGATCTTTGATTATGTGCCATCAATTTGTTTTCAGCTTTTATTGATCTCAAAGATAGATTTTCTCCACCATGATCTGTCTCTAATATGGTCTTTTAGATCTTCAAAATGATGCACTCATCACCCTTGTAACTGAGTCTATTCGCCTTGCTATTGATTGTTTTCTTTTTCTTTTTCCTTCCATCTTTCCCAGAATCAGGGCCTCCTTCAGAGAGCATAATGTTCCAAAATAGGATAATTTGAGCCTGGTCATTTGTGCCTCAAGTGAGGAAACCTCTGGGTTGATTTATTTGAGAACCTATTTGTTTATTTTCTTGGCTGTTACTGATATTTTCAGGAGTCTTCTCTAACACCAAAGTTCAAAAGTGTCAATACTCTTCCTATTCTGCCTCTTCAAAGTCCAACTTTTACTTCTATAGAATATCAGAGCATAATAAGACTTGCACAATTGTGATTTTTGTGGATGCAGACACATCATTTGAATATCTTTTCCAAGGTTTGCATGTGATAGTGCTAGTTTGTAGCATGTTTGTTTTACTAATTGTTCCTTTACTATTGATGGTTAATTCTAAAAGGTAGAAACCAGCACCCCTTTGATATCTTTGTTAGCAATTCTAATCCCAATTTTTAGTTTCGGATAATCAGATGGACTAACAAATGTTTTTGCATCATGATGCAGAATTATGTCAGGTTCTGTCAGATGAAACTGATTATTAGGTAGCAGAATGAAAACTGGATAGCGAGTCTTGAACTTTTCCATTGATAACAAGAATAGACTCAGCAAACTGCACTTGCAACCAAACATTGTGGTTTACGGTGCTCTTAATTAGGATGAAATTCTACCTTTGGAAAGATACTCAATTCTGTCCTCCCAACTAGCCTAGTTTTTCATCGTTTCCTTTCATCTGTTTGAATTCATATTTTTATTTTTCTTGTCTTCACCTCCTTATTTGATTTTTTTTCTTGTAAAGCAGTTTCATTCTTCTGTAGTTATTTCATTTTTTCAATGCTATTGCGGTTATATAAATATGTCAGTTTTGCTTTTCCAATAGTATTTTTTTAAATTATGTTTGAGGGATTCAGCCTGGACTTTTTCACTAAATAATTTTGTCATAATTTTATACTGCTCAGAGCAATGAATCAAAGGACAGTAAAACAATAGTAGAACTACCAGTTTGTTTAAGTATGACTATAAAAATACAAACAATAAAATAAAAGTTAATGATGTGATATAAAATATCCAAACCGTTGCCATAATTATGTTCTTTCTAACAAGAAAGCTATAATTGTGATGAACAATGAACTGAGACTCTTGAAATTTAAAGAAAAACTAGGATTGTTATTATATCTAATTTTTACAACTCCTGAACAATATAGTCTAAAAGAACAATGATAGGCAAGTGCACACTGATGCTCCACTCTATATAAGCAAACAAAATGCTCAGGGGCCTTCATATGAGGAAATTTTATCAGGGTTTTTATCTTAGAAAAAAGGTAAGTAAGAAGATGGAATGGCACGATAAAGAGATATGAAATTCTTTTTTGTAGATAGTGAGAAAAAATATTTACCTTTCTTAACAACTAGATCAGGGTCCTTCAATTAAGATTAAGAATATGAAATTGAGGAATTTTTTTAAAAAACTGCCTTTTCTCCCATAGTAAATTGAAGTTGCTAGTTCAAGATTTGAGGAGTTTTAAAAGGAGATTTAAAAATAACATGAATGTTCAGGTTTTATTTAATTGATTCTAGTTTTTGTGGTAGTATGTTTCTCAGGATTAGTTGTTGGAGAGCACTTGCCAATCATTTTGCATGGAATACTGGGTTAAGTGGCCTTTGGCCTAATCTGCACTGTTTTTATGCTCTTAGGCAATTTCTGCAAGTCTAAGTATGATGTAGAACTGAGTAACAACTCATAATGCTAATTCAGCACTCTATTAGTAGAAGTAAAGTGAGTTTCAAAAGTGATTTGCAACTTTTTTCTATTTTAGTTTGTTTATATGTATCTAACCACTTGTCAGATTTCTTTAACAACAGTCCAGACAAGAAAAGCGCAGCAAAGAAAAAAATCTCTTTAAGTTTCGAATTAATAAGATTTATTTTTAAAAAGGTTGAAATGATAATACAAGAATTGTGGCACATAATTTGCTTTTAGATCTACCCCATTTTCTTTTGAATATTGTAAGATTGTTGAAAAACTGGAATGGGATACCTTTGTCCTAAAATGACTCGTGTGGTGCTGCTCATGGTAGGTAGTGTTTACAGATATCCAAAATTGCATTGTTCTCTATTTTACTCCCTGCCCCACCTTCATGCCTCTACCCACTGTGTTTCCCCGAAAGTAAGACCTACCCTGAAAATAAGGCCTAGCTTGATTTTTGGGGTGAGCTAAATATAAGGCCTACCCGAAAAATAAGCCCTAGTTTGGAGGCAAGGTGCACACCTAAAAATCAAGCTGGGGTGGGGGTGGGGGGTGGAACTGCCCCACGCACCCCACACCCACTTACCTTGCAGCTAGGCCTCTCCTTGCAGGCCCACTTCTTCTGTGGCATCTTCTGCAGCCAGGCCTGCATTTCTCAGTCACAGGCCTTTCCGGAAGGCTGATGCAGCCAGAACTGAGCTATAGATTCAATCCATACAGTAGCGGGCCAAGTGTATTTTTGAGGTTTCTTGGCTAATAACACCACTTTTTTTTGGAGCAGTACCCTAAAACTATATATCAATGGAAAGATAATTTAATCAAGAATGTAATGCAACATAGTTTGTTCAATTATCTGTAGTGTATTCTATGAAACGTTATAGCCAAATAACCAGAAAAAGGAAGTACAACTTGCTTAGATTGATATCAGGTAGCTTTCCTTCATCTGATTGTAGCCAATGAGCGTGAGTGTTTAGAGAGCCAGTCAGGTGTCATCTTGTTTTGGCAATGAGCCAACCAGATCACAGTAGGATTCAGTTACTGATGTCATGTATTGAAGCTGAGAGGAGGACATTTGTCAGTGTGTTATGAGATCGCTATCAAGTTGGTTGGGTTTTTTTCCCCCTTTCATTTAGTGAGCTTGTAAAATGTAATAAAATTAAAGTAATGGTGCAAAGAGTTGACTGGTTGCCCAGAAAGCGATGTAAAATAATAATATTAAGTGAACAAGGCTACAGTTATAAAGAAATTAGAAGAAAAATTGGTGGAAACTTAACCAAAGTTAGCATTTCTACTGTACATGTTTCCCAAATGGTTTCCACAATTTTGGCCACTACCGTAGTTCAGTTTTGCAAGACCTCTGCATCCGAGAACCGAGCTATGGATTGAATCCATTGCTTGGTACTCGGTTGCAAAGGCCTTCTGGAAAGGCCTGACTGCAAAATGCAGGCCGGAATGCAGCTGAAGAATGAAGCTGCTCCTTCAGTCAGAAGAAGTGGACCAGCTGGGCAGGGCTGTCGGTGCTGGAGGTGAGTAAAAAAGACACCCCCCAAAATAAGACCTGGTGCCTCTTTTGGAGGCAAAAAAAAAAAGTTAAAAACTTTCACTTTTATGTCTAACCACTACTTTAAAAGTATCAAAATTGTTGTTTAATTTTCTTGTTTTCAACTTGTAGAAATAAGAGCCAGTTTGGTAAAATACTAAGGAACTTCAGTTATAGTAACAACTTACAAATTGCCAATTGCATCAGCTTGGTGGGAAGAAGGCTAATAATTAACAGGATCCCAATAGACATGCAGAGGCAAATTTAACTCTTTCTTCCTGGTATAATCCTAAAGAAAACCCATTTTGGGAAGTTTGTACTGCTAAGGGTTGGAAGACAGGATATATCCCCAGGGAAAGCAAGGAGTTACCATCCATACTGATTTTGAATTTATGAATTGCATGGGAACAAGTTAGATAGTTCTCGGTACGCATATTTTTTTCTTTATTGATCTTTTCAAGTGTTTGGAATATAAATAGTTCAGCTTGGAATAATATTAAGGCTTGAAAATAGGGGCTGGAAATAAAATATAATAAAGCAGTGTCTCCAAATTCTTTAATTTCAAAGGTTATTTTCAAATTTGTATTGAACTACTGCTCCCTTGCTAAATCTTTGGCATTCATCTTCATGTATCTGTGCTATTGGCTGCACACATAACTTATTCTGAACCATAATTTTGATTTTAAAAGCCATGCTTAATTAATATAATTAAATAGGGTAGAAAATACAGAATATCAGTCACCTCTTTTCCCAAGTATGGCAGGGAAGGAAGCAGAAGTTTGCTGAGAATTGTTCTCATCCTTGTTTGTTAGACTGCACTCTTTTTCCAAAAGAAAACTGAATTAGTTATACTGATGTAAACTAAATAGATTTCTAATGTACTGTGTATGCATCTTATTTACTTTCAAATATTGTTCAGATATCAGCAATATGCATAGATGGCAGCTTTGGTCACAGCTAATTACGTTATTTAGTATAAAATTAAAATATAGATGGTAGTGCATGGAAAAACGAGCGTGTTGCTTTAGTAACTATATTTGCCCAGTAATGAACACTGACTGGATCTGAGAAGATCTAGAGCTTTAGAAATAATTTTATAACCCTTCTCAACAGGGTTATAAATTATAAATTAATGATGGATGGATGGATGGATGGATGGATGGATGGATGGATGGATGGTTGGTAATCAGCAGGATAGTATAAGAAAGGAACTAAATTTATGAGACTTATACTGTACAAAACTGGCTTAATAAATTACTTACACAATTGCCTTAATTATATCTCTTCTGGAATTACTGAACTGGGGGGGGGGGAAACAATTATTTTGTCACATTGGCCTAATGCGTGTTGGGAAAAAACAAGCACCAAACTTTAGTGTTAGGAGCAAAGGTAAGAAACTTTTCAGAATATATGAAAGGTAACAAATACTTTTCATGAGAAGACTGTTGGGAAAGACTCACATGTACATATCTATATATACAGACACAGATATATGTAGAAGAATATAGGTAGTTCTCTACTTGCAACCGTCCCTGCTGGCTTCCACATTGATTTTTCTTGTCAGAAGCCAGCTGTGAAGGTCGTAAATGGTAATCACGTGTCAACCTTCCTGGGTAAACCAGATAGGAAACATGACTAGATGAGCTAACTCTACTTTATTATAAGGTTATATTAACAGAACCTTGCAAGTCTGAAAGTACAAACTTCCCACCTGCCACTTTTAACTGCTAGACCCATTAGGGTGGGTCCTTCCTAAATTTCTTTCTTTCCTAGGCAGCATCTCCTCTCCCCTTTCCTCAAGGTTATCTGTGCATTCCATTACATCAGGTGATGGCAGGGACACTGTGACAGTCTAAGTGCAAGAATCAATTGCAAGCCATTTTTTTCATTGCTACTGTAACTTGAAATATTTGCTAAATGAATGGTCATAAGTTGAGGACTACCTGTAATCAATGAACAAAATCTGCAGGATGGTGCCAGAATGTAAGCTAGGGTATTTCCTGTGATATAAAAATATATAATTGTATGAAATCAAACTGGACTTTGAATTTTTGCTACAGAAAGCTAACTTGCCTTTTTCTATATAGAACAGTTATGAGGCTATTCAACACAAGCCTAGCATTTTTAAGGATAACTCTTGTTTGTTTGGTTTGTTTTTATATTTATTTCTACCATGAAATAAAAATCCACCTCTGTTCATATGCCCAGGCAGTTGCACATTTGTGTTAACAGATAACTTACCTGATTGAAACCTGATTTTACTGAGTATGATGTGGAAAATGCCATAAAAACAATTTTCTCTTCTCCCAAAATTATGGAAACGTTTTGGAAATTGTGCTGTAAATAATGTTTATCTTATTTAAAACTTGCTTGGACTTCTATTTTATTCTTTAGTTTGATGAGCAGTTCTTGCAATATAATGTCAATAGTAGTTTTCATTGCAAATGGATCCACTATCCAGGCCACAATATCCATATCCACAAGCTTGTAGAAACAAATTTCCATATCATTATGCAGCTACTTAAATGATCCATCTATATGAGTATCAGAAAATTCCTGATGTCCAATATTGTATGTGTATAATTTCAGTTTTCCAAGAAATCCCTTAATCTTCTCTTTTCATGATAAAAGGTAACACTTTCTTCCCTGCAGTTGCTTGTTTAACAAAGAAAGCTTTTCAAAAATATCAGAGAAAAGTAAAACATGTTGCATTTAGTAAAAGTGATCTCTTTTTCGTTTTGTTTACTATTGAAAAATGCCACAACCATTCCCATAGAGCATCAAAATGAAGAATGCAGTTACCTTTAGATAATGGATTTCTGTATGCAATAATAAGTATTTAAATCACTCCCGTTGCAAGGCTGTTGAAATAAACAATTTTGACATACATTTAATTTTATGCAGTTAACTGCCTTTCATATTAAACTTCTATATTGTTCTGTAGTTTGATGAGCAGTTCTTGCAATGTAACATCAATGTCAGCAGTATCCATTGCAAAAGGATCACTGTTCAGGCCAGAATATCCAACCCTTCCAAATATTTTGAAATCGAAGGGTGGTGGTGAATTATGCAGTGAAAACAAAATACTTCTGGCACCACATATTTCAAAAATGCGATAAATTTTCTATGTAACTGTCATGGAAGCTATAATATTGTCAAAAGGGGTATCATTCTTATTGAAATAACTCTTCTTCAAAAATTGTTTTCCCTTTAATAACTGTTTTAAGTTTTCATGTGAAAAGTGTTTCTTCTCTGAGCTTGTCAGCGACAAATATCTTACATAAGCCATAAGTATTGTTGTGTTATCTGGTAAATATGCTTCAGCAATTTGCAGACCAAACTTCTTAACTTTTAACTGGGACACTGGGAATCTGGCATCAACAAGACAGTATCTGTATTACTATACAATTTCTGTGCCGCCCCATTACATGTTTTTTACTTGTAGCTCCCTTGAAATATCCTATGGTTCCCAACTGAGAACAGCTGAATTAAAACTCTAGAAATTCTGGAAGGAATTCAGCACACAATCCATTGCTGATGGTTTGTATACTAATTTTAGATACTGTATATAACTTACTGCACATTTCCTATAGGCTTCTGAAGCAGGGAGGTTATTAAGATAGGATGAAAATATGCAAGGAAACAATGAAATTCTTGTTACCATTTTTTTTAGGCACACAGTTCCTACAGTTTTATGGAAAGATGCTCAAGGGAAGGACCAACTGTGGTACGAGGATATTTTGGGTTCCAATAACCCTGTAATCCTTTATTTGCACGGAAATGCAGGGACTAGGTAAGCAAAACACAAAAATGTAAATAATGCCCATAATTTAAATCTATTCAGGGCTCATTCTTCATTAGGCAGGGCAAGTACCGCAATACACACACACACACACACACACACATTGTGTGTGTGTGTGTGTGTGTGAATATAATCAAATCAAATCAAATTCAGATGTGAATATAAGACTGCAGAGTAGAAAGGCTTTTATTAAAGGACTTTTATTTTGCCGCATCTATGAGGGAAATACTCTGGCATTTTGCTTGTCTGATTCATTTTAAAATGTGAAGGAGGAAAAGGAAGAAATACACTTTTTTCTACAACAGTTTTGGATATAATTAGTAATGCTCATGCTGAAGCCAGCCTATGTCTTGTTTACTGTAGTTAATTTTTCAATATATTTCTCTTACTGTCTTTTCATCAGATAAGATTCCATGGCATTGTACCACAGTTTAGATCCCAAGATTAGACAACATGGTTGATGGCAGCAGCAAAGCAGGGCCTCTTTGATTAATGTTTTTATAACTAGGAGTTCCGTTGATTAATGTTTCTAATTCTTGGAGGAACAAAGAAAGCTATACGCAACCTGATAAGAGAACTGGTTTAAACCTGAAGGGCACTGGCCTGAACTTTACTTACCTGCAAACTCATAATGTGAGAAACAGTTTTCCTGAATGTGAAGATAAGCATTAACAAGATCATACCAAGAATATTATGGGATGCTATGGAATGTTACTTGCTACATATTAGTTACTGAGCATGTGTGCTGCATCAGAGATGTGTCAAATGAAAGAACTCATTCCAAACCCAATATGTTTGGACTGTATATAAAATGATTTTCTGCCTTTGTAAACTGCTCCTCTTGAGTGAGGCAACTTTCCTTACTTGTATGCAGATTTTAATGTATCTTTCCGGCTTGGATTCTGTTAGAACAAGGGACACCAGGCTAATAGATCTGCTGGCATTGATGGCTAACATGGTGGATGTTTTGGATTTCAATACTACTATGCATTGTTCCACAAATTTGAATGGAATTTGTTGTTAATGTGCAGTTGTTTACAGATTCCAAGTAAGGAAATATTGAATATGATAGATGTAGAAAGCATATTCACTCTTCCAGTCAGTACTTAGTAACATCTTCTTTGGCATAAGTAATAGCTTTTAAGTTTCTTATAGCCAGCTAAAAGACCTTCTATTCTTGCTTTAAAAAAAAAACTTCCTTGCAGAGATCTTCTAGCTCAGAAATATTCATTGGTCTCTGTACATGTTTTATATATCTGAGATCCACTTACAGATTTTCAGTACAAGTCTGGAGACCTTGAAGGCCGTTCCAAATGCAAGAATATAAAGAATCTTGGCTGGCTATATGAGTGAAGCATTATAATTACAGTTGGACACAATTTAGCTCAATATCTGCAATTCAAACTTTGATTTCTGAGGAAGTGGCTGACTTCTCAATGACATGAATAGAATTATGTAAATTCCAGTTAACAGTGCTTCTGCCCTAGCAAGTAGCTAAGACTACGGTCTTAAGTAAGGGTTTATTGAAATCAGTGGTTCTTGAATTATTTCTAACAACAGGTTTTTCATTAAAAGCTAGCTCATATTTATGCTGACATTAGAAAATTATGTAACACAATGTTTTATATTGATTTTAACTTTATTTTCCCAACATTTCTTAACAGAGGAGGGGATCATCGTGTGGAACTTTACAAGGTAGGAATGGTGTTGTTACTTATAAGTTCTAAATACTGTTATGCATTGCTATTAAAAGCAACATGAACCTGTATTTGTCTTCTGTAGTTTATATTTATTTAATTTATATGCCTTATTCCCTGATAAGGTGAAATAAATAAGAGTTAGAAATATAAGAAGGTACTCAAAACTGTGCATTACGCATCAGTGTCAGTCATATTGTAAGCCTTTTATGATTTGTTCCATTGCACAACACAATGAAATATTGCATCTTGAAAAGTTGCCACTTTCCATTAAAAATGAGAACCTTGTATATTGCCATGTCAAAGTGAAGGAATTTGTTAGCATGTAGTGATAATTATTTTAAAAGTGTTTCTTTAATTTATTTGGAGTTGCTTATCTTCCCTTACAGGTTTTAAGTTTTCTTGGTTACCATGTAGTCACATTTGATTATAGAGGTAAGATTATTAGACTATATTTTTGTTCTTAGACTACATTGTTTATCCTTTTGTTCCCAAATATGGGTGGCTGTTTTGTTTTAACCAACCTATTGGCTATTTCTTGAATTTCATTAACCACATAATTTGCAGGAGTTTGTGTGTTTTATTAATACCCCAAATTGTGGAGCATGGTCTGTTAATAGTAATTCCCCATTTTTATAAATTAATTGTAAATAAATTATAAATGTATTACAGAATGTTTACAAATGAATTGTTTAATTAACAGTAAGAGTATGCAAAATGTTGGATCTCAAATGAAAAACTTCACAAAATAAATCTATTTTGAAGCTGCTGTTTTGAATGTGAAACAAGAAATTCTGAGCCAAAAACAACTTTTTGAACGCAGAAGAGTTCTGCTCCCAGCAAAAAATACTCCAGATTGGTTGAAACAGTCCATTTAATAGCATAGCAGCAGTTTCACATCCATAGATTGTTCTATGGCGTTCTGCAAAGTTTCATGCTTGAAAACACTTAAAAATGATATTTTTTGCTTGTACCTAATTAGTTTTTTTCAAATAGTTATCCAAACTACTTAGTAAGCAGTGAATCCTGTGCCAACCCTTTAAAAATGTTAGTTTCTCTAATACATTTTGACTGAATACTTTGGGAATATTTTATACTTCCATAAATTGATCTTCCCATTAATGTTTAATGACAACTTTACTTGAATGACTTCAGCAGTGTCTTTGCTGAGATAAGGAACTATTGTGAGCTGAACAGTACGACGAACAGTTGTAAATATATACATTTCCACAATTTCCAGATGCATTAAAGTTCTTCATGCAGTATGCCTTGCCTTTCTGAAATTAAATCAGCTAACAATAACAACAAAAACCTGCTCTTTTGTATGGATACAAGCCTCATGTACTCAATCTGCTAACAAGTGAACTTCACTACTGCTTAAACAGAAGATAATCTTAGATTTCCTAAAAACATGTAGGCTTGAATGTTAAAAAGTAGCATAGGAGGCATCTGGTTCCTAAAATAGGGCATTTGCTACTTCAACATATTGTTGAATATATTTTTTTCTGCCAGGAAGAATCAGGTCATAGAGCAGTGGTTCTCAACCTATGGGTCGCGACCCCATTTGGGGTCGATCGACCATTTCACGGGGGTCGCCAAGCAAGGCTGTCCGCCATTTTTTCCCCCCTTTTCCGGCGGGTGCCTTACCTCCTTTGAGCTGGGCCAGCTGGTGGTCGGCCTGCTCCATCTCTGCTGCTTGCCAGCTACGCCTCGGCCGGCGCAGGGGGCGGAACCACGCATGCGCGGCGCTCCCAGGCAGGGAAAGTCCTCGACCTATGACTGGTTGGGTAGTCCTCGACTTACGACCAGTTTAGTCCTCGACTTACGACCGGTTTAGTCCTCGACTTACGACCGGTTGGGGGTCGCGGCATTAAAAAGGTTGAGAACCACTGTCATAGAGGGACAAACAGTCTATTTCAAGTGTAATTTTCTTGAGCAGTACTTCATTTAAAAAAAGTTTATTGTGAACTTTCAATTAGCTTTGCAGTTTTCACAAGATAGTTTTTTTTTTAGTTCAGCTTGTAAGTCAGTTCCATTTCTCATACTCAACCTCAAATGATTGAAAAGCAGATATTCCCAGAAATTTTGCTGCAATTGAAGGTCATCTTTTTAGTGTGACTCCCCCCAGCCTGACACTTTTTATATGTGTTGAGATGGCAACTCCCACAATTCCTATTCAGGATTCTTAGCTGAGTGTGTTTGTGTGGTGGGGAGAAAATTGTAGGAATTAGGGTCCTGAGAATTCTAAGATGCTTTAGGTCCAGTGGAACTAGAACCAGCATAGTTGGCAGGTAACAGTTTGTTTTCATATGGTAGTTTTTAAATGCAGAAAAATTCTCCTGTAATTGCACTCCCCCCCCCCAAGAATCCTTAAAATCTATTTGGAGGTAGGGAAACTCTCAAGAAGTTTTACTGTAGTTTTAAGATTTTGTAAAAGAAATTGTCCCACTCAGTTCCATTAGCAAAACAGTCTTATCAGTCAGAAATTCTCCTTGAACATTTAAAGGCATACTGGAATCCAGTTGAATAGGCCTGGTACAACTTTAGTTTCTACATTATGTCAACCTCATTTTACTTTATTGTGTATTTTAGCCTGTTCCAAGAAAATGAAAGGTAATCAAGAATTTACCTATTCATTTCCAATGTCCTGACTCATTGTGCTCTTTGGTCTTAATTGAAAAATGAAACCAAATCCTATATTTTGATTAGCACCTTAAAGTATGATTCTTGGAATATTTATTTTTATCTCTTTCAGGATGGGGAGACTCTATAGGCACTCCCTCAGAAAGTGGGATGACCTATGATGCTCTTCATGTATTTGACTGGATAAAAGCAAGAAGTGGAGACAATCCAGTTTATATATGGGGACACTCCTTGGGCACTGGGTAAACATGTATTTTTCAGATGATCTAAGCAGAATTTTAGAATATTAGTG